ACACGGGCCGTGCCCGGCACCCTCCTGCGCGTCCCCTCGCGGGTGTCGCCGCTCCCCGGCCGGGCCCGGGCTGGGTTGGGGCCAGGCCCGGGCCCAGGGGCCTTGGGCTTTCAGCGTGGCCCCTTCCCCAGCTGGGCTTGCGGGGCGCAGGCCGTACTCAGCCCCACGCTGCTGCCATCAACGCTCCCTCGGCTAACGGGGCTGTGGTTGAGCCCCCACACACACCGCCGCCACGGCTCCCGGCCTTGGGCACCCCCAGGCCTGCGCTGGGCAGCGGGGAGGCCACCAGGCAGCCGCCAGCCCCCCCTGCCCGAAACAGCAGCCATCCACCCGGGGCCTGCTGGCACAAAGGCAATGAAGAACCGCACCAGAGACACGAAGCGCAGCCGAGCGCAGGCTGGGAGAACGGCTCTTCCTCACCCCGCGCCTTTACAAGCCCAGCACCAGCAGCCAAGCACAATTTTGGGGTGTTTTCCCTTCATATCCCTCCCCCCGGCTCCCCTTCCCCACAAAGCCAGGGCTATGGAGAAACTACACACCCCAGCGTGCGCCGCTGCGGCGCCGGCCAGGCTCTCGGTCTGGACATTAAAACAAAGCGCTGTACTCTGGGAGCAGTAGTTTCTGCAATAACACCTCCATGTTAAAGGGGCAGCTCGTTTGGGAGCGGCCGCGGTTGGTTTTGTGCACCCTCCTGCATTGGGCTCCGATGTTTTGGGGGGGATTTAGCACCTGCATTTGTCGCTTAGATGTAATATTTTGTCTCCCTCTCGCCCAGGCAAGAGAACCACGCGCGAAAACGGGGAGGAAACTTGCCCGTGCAGGGAAGCGGCTCGAGGCATGCCCTCACACGCACACAGAGAGCAAACAAGCAGCAGCCCAGTGTAGCGGCTGTAGCGTTTCAAAGGGCTTCGTCAGCCAACGGGGTCCTGCAGACCGCATGGGCCTCGGCGAGAGATTTCCCTGGAGTCTGAGCTTTCCTGGGTGAAGCAAGCAGGTTGTGGTTTCAGGTACAAGAAGTTACTTCAAGCCTGGTTTATCACAGTCATTAAAGCACAAGCAGGGCCGGATCCAGCTGACATCTGGCTGCGTGGCTTGCATCCATTTTCTCCCCCAAAGGGCTGCTGGGGTGATGGGTGTCTCTGCTGCCACGCTGCCTATTCCAGGTGCCCGTGCCACGACGGAGGGTGCAGCCCAGCCAGCCAGGGCTTGCGGGGAAGTGGGGCTTCACCCTGGCCAACCTCCAAAATCCTTGGGAAATGCAGCTCGTGGGTGCAGCCTTGGGAGGTGCCGAGTACCCCAGGCTGGGCATGACAGGAGACCTTCAGGATAAACAGTTAGCAAAGGCTTTCACTGCTGATGGCTGTTTTTTAAGCCAAATTTTGCGTAGCCACCCAAAGCTTTCTTTGGCCAGCGCCGGCGCAGCTTATTTGACCTGGCAAAACCCCACTATGATAAACTCAGCTCTGCTGGGCTGCCGCAGCAGCATGTTGCACAAATGGCTGTGTCGCACTTGGCATGGACCCCCCTGCCCTTCTGCCACGCAGCCCTGCAGGGCCCTGAGCACCCCACAAACGGCTGCGGCATGGATCCTGTGCAACGAGTAGCTCCTGTTAGCAAGGCCTGGCTGCCTCCAGGCTCTCCACTGGAATAGGAACATCAGCAGGTTATTCTGGCAAGCGTCCCTAGCGAAGATGCAGCTCATTCTGCTTAGCTGCACTGCCCTGTTACAAGGAAACTGCCTCGGTGACACAGTCAGTCCATCAGAAGCACACTTGTGCGGTGAGGTCGGATCAGTTCTCCACCTTCCAGCTGGTAGAGCCCTGAACCCAGCTCTGCTGTGCCATGGTGGACCATGCAACGTCCCCAAAACACCACCACTGTGAGCAAGGCCAACCTCACGGCATAGCGGAGATGTGAATAGTGAAACTGTGTTGTCTTGGCACTGGAGCAAATAAATCTGTCCAGACACCCTTCTCCTTTGGTTGAATTCTGCAACATCCCCTGAACGTCCAGGGCTGATACAAGATGTCAGTGTTGACTTTTGGGTGACAAATATTCGAGTTGCAAAGCATGAGAGGTCGGGAGCTCTTTCCCACACCATGTCCTCACTGTGGAGCCTGGGGGAAGGAGGGTTGGCAAGTTCCTACCTGCTTCTGCTGGCCAGCTTTTGGGGTGTCGTGCTTGCAAACTGG